CATTTTTAGCCCTTATTAAAACCCAGATTTTTGAAATAATTGAGAACAGCAAAAAGTACCCCATCATTCACAATATATGATTTACTGATTAACCCATGTTTATTGATGTTTACTAAGGTCTTCAAAATTTGAGAGTCAGTTTGATTGAAGTGTCATTGAAATATTGTATTATTTTTCACCTTTTTTTTCTCGTGTTGGCTGAAAAATTAAATACATGTAATAAGTTTAGATAATGAGTAGTGTTATAAAAAATATCCATATTTTTTTTTTGGTCTAAGATTCCCATAAGTTATGAATCAAAATGAGGAAAAAGATCAGATACAGTTTTCAGTACTGAGTATGACCCTAGACAGAAATGTTTCTCTTGCCATTTTTGGTACCTTCTGGTGAAATTCTTACCATTTTAGCTCCCATGTGTGCAAAGCATAGGTACTTTTGGATATACCTAATTAGTTTGTGCCATGTCCTTGCATATTATGTAGCTAATTTGCATATTAATTATCTCACTTCAGCTTTGTAAGCAAAATTTCAAAAGCTTCTGATTTTGATCAAATTTATTTCATAGGTATCTTAGGGTAATACTTTTAAGACAATATCCGTGCATATAAGTAGCTAATTTGCATATTAATTTATCATTTCAGCCTGTGTAACTAAGATTTTAAAAACTTCTAAGCAGATTTTGATGGGTAATGTGCTTATTAGTGTTATAGTCATGTCTAGGCATATTAATTAAGTAGTTAATTTGCATATTAATTAACAAAATCTCAAAAACTTCAGAAGGGATTTTGATCAAATTTTGCTATACATTGGTGCTAAATGTCTGCTGGTGATCCTAACCTCTATACCATTGCTCTTTCACTCTTTTTTTTTTTATAAAACAATATTGATTGCATATATTTTGTATTCACACAAGAGCTTTGCAGTGTTTAACTTTGATTAGTACTTCCTTGCAAAATTTGACTCCCACTCCTGCTTAAGTTGACTCACCTTTGAGAATAGCCTAGTGGAATGGCAGTTGGATAGCCAATATTTTCGTCTGTCAATTTCCAAATAACACAGTGTTATTACCTAGTATTTCTGATTGGTCAGATGAATACTGGCAGCCATTTCATATTTATAATTGTAATTTAAGACTTCCGTGAAAAGGGCATCATTACTACATAAAGACACTAAATGAAATGTTGTGTTTTTCCAGTGTTTTTGAATTCCAAATGCATGAAATTTGATTAATCTTCAATTTCAGTGGTTTTATTTTGTGTTGGTGTTCAGTGTAATTAAAGCGGGAATTGAGTCCCAAGTGACGATAAGAACACACGCTAAAAACGCAAAGGTTATCGGGTAAACGCTTGTTTGTAAACAATGACATGCTATGGCCACCTGACACATGCACAGGAGACGATTCCCCCGCTTTAAGCTTGTGCCAAAATCAGTTTTGACTATGTAAATGGCAAATTCAGTATATTGACTTACTGGAATAAATCATAATGGCAGTTAAAAATCACTGTAAATGCAATAATTTTCAAAACATGAATATATTATAAATCAGCATGAAATTTGTAATAAGTGCAATGATTTCCCCAAAGTTATTGACAAATTTGGGATTATAATTGGCTTATTTTGGATTTAAAAAAAATACCAAATCCCTTTTTATGAAACAAGTCTTAATAAATTCAAATATAGAAAAATGTAATTGATATATACATTATCTCATGCCAGGTATGGGCTATACAAATGTGGATGACAAGGAAAATTTTAATTTCTCGCCTCAACACAAGGCTGAAGTGGTAAAAGCATTAATACAGAAATTGAAACTTGAAAGGTGAGGATGTTATCATGATTTTAAGTTAAGAATTTGGGGTGTAACCATGGTGATTTGAGGATGTGGAATGCTGCCATGGTGAGTTGAGGATGTGGATTGTTGCCATGGCGAGTTGAGGATATAGGTTGTTGCCATGGTGAGTTGAGGATATGGAATATGTTGCTATGGTTTTATATTGACATGTTTTAAGGATGGTGTATTGTGATTTGTATCAAATTACATACATAAAACTGGGTCAGTTTGATTCAAGTGCCACTTATAATTTGATTCAGTCAGTTCAAGTGCCAAGTATACTAATTTAATTCACTTGATTCAAGTGTGAATTATTCTAATTTGATTCAGTTTGATGAAGTGCCACATATAATAATTGATTCAAGTGTAGTAATTTGATTCTCTTGATCCTAGTGCCAAGTGTAGTAATTTGATTCACTTGTTTCAAGTGCCAAGTGTAGTAATTTGATTCTCTTGATTCAAGTGCCAAGTGTAGTAATTTGATTCAGTTTGATTAAAGTGCCAAGTGTAGTAATTTGATTCACTTGATTCAAGTGCCAAGTGTCGTAATTTGATTCACTTGATTCAAGTGCCAAGTGTAGTAATTTGATTCACTTGTTTCAAGTGCCAAGTGTAGTAATTTGATTCAGTTTGATTAAAGTGCCAAGTGTAGTAATTTGATTCACTTGATTCAAGTGTCAGATGTAGTAATTTGATTCAGTTTGATTAAAGTGCCAAGTGTAGTAATTTGATTCACTTGTTTCAAGTGCCAAGTGTAGTAATTTGATTCACTTGATTCAAGTGCCAAGTGTAGTAATTTGATTCACTTGTTTCAAGTGCCAAGTGTAGTAATTTGATTCAGTTTGATTCAAGTGTAGTAATTTGATGTGTAGTAATTTGATTCACTTGTGTCAAGTGTCAGATGTAGTAATTTGATTCAGTTTGATTCAAGTGTAGTAATTTGATGTGTAGTAGTTTGATTCACTTTATTTAAGTGTCTGGTGTAGTAATTTGATTCACTTTATTCAAGTGTCTGGTGTAGTAATTTGATTCACTTGATTCAAGTGTCAGGTGTAGTAATTAGATTCACTTGATTCAAGTATAGTAATTCGATTAACTTGATTAAAGTGTCAAGTAC